CAGGATCCAGGAAGCGATGCCCACTGTCTCTCCCTGTAGGATCTATGACAAGTGACCATGCTGGGGCAGATTGACAGTCACAGTTAAGGAAATCTGAGCCAGCTGGGAGCCATGTTAGGCTCAGCATGCAAAGGAAAGAACCACTTTAGTCATGTGACTCTCCAGCCAGGACACCCTGAGACTCAGAGGATGAATGAACAGGGAAAAGATACAGACTGACAGGGTTGCATGACCTCAAAGCTGGTCACCCACCAGGAACTTTTCTCTCTGTTCAGGGGTCTTCATATAGAAGAGAACTAAGCCGAGACCCAATCCGTTGGAAAATTGTTAGAATCCATCCATCCATCCATCCATCCATCCATCCATCCAATACATGCATAGAGTATGTATCCTAGTTTGGTTTATGTGCCTGTGATAAAAAAACACTTGACCAAAAACAACTTGGAGAAAGGGTTTATTTGGTTTACAGGTTAGGTTCCATCATTGAAAGTAGTCAAGACAGGAGCTCAAAGAGGTGGAGACCGATGCAGAAACCATAGGGCAGTGCTTATTACTGGCTGCTTGCTTTTCATAGCTTGCTCATACTGCTTTCTTAAGCAACGCAGAATCACCTGCCCAGAGATGGCACGCCCCTAGTGGGCTCAACCCCCACCTGCAGTGGTCATCAGTCAAAACAGTGTTCGTGAACATAACCACAAGCCAACCTGAGAGGCAGAGCTTCAGCTGTTGCTCCCTCTTTTCAAGTGACTCTGGCTTGTGTCGTGTGGACAAAAATTGGCCCTCACAAAATTCCTCCTGAGTAATGGGCCCTTGGGCTAGGTGCTACGGTTATGTATCGACTCAGAGACAGGGCCTGAGACAGATCGAGAAATGACTTCAAGTTCAAAATATTGACATCACATTAACACAGAAAGTGGAAGCAATGGGGGAAAACTGTCTAGGAAGCCTTTCTTAGAAAAGAAATATGCAAACTGGGCTTTGAGTGGCCAAGCAGAGTGACCAGCAGAAGCAGAAGCTGTGGAGATAGAGTGCTGAAGCGTGAGAAACTATAGATGGTGAACCCAAGGGGGTTCCCTCGTCTCCGGGGCTGCCTCATCCTTCCTCCGCCATGACCCACGTGTCCTCGACATGGCCTTGACTATTCCTTCTGCTGAGCATAGAGAGAGCCAGGAAGAAGAGACTATGGTAACTTCATGTGAAGTGGCCGCGGGTTAATTCAGCTGCCGGTGTGTTTGGACATATCCTATGAGATAAACAGTGTGTTGCAAATACATTTGCCCACCTCACTTTTCTCGTTCAGTAAAAACTCTCCCTTTCATTTTAAATAGCTGCAAAGCTATATTATAAGATGAAGGAATAAAAATGGTCACCCTAAACAGTGCTAAAAACCATGGACCATTCTATATTATAATTTTTGTGTTCTACTGTACCTTCCCCGGGTAGGCGAGGCTTAGCTGAAGAGCACATTCAAGAGTACATGTTGGGATGGGCATCTTTAGTCAGAGTTGTCAGGATAAGCTCATGTCATAGCTGTCTGACTTGAGTCTCTGTGTCTTCATTGTTCATTATACCACTCCGTCCACAGCCCAGCCCACCTCAAAAACCACGAGGAAAGAGTTTGGGGTTGCGTCCAACTATCTCTGACTCTTTCTCTGAGAGTGGAGCCTGGCGTGTGTTAAGCTTTCCATGTTTGTTAAATGAAAAAGTGAACGAACCCATCAGAGTTGCCAGGCCCTTCCCTCTTCCTTATCTGCTTCCCAAGGTGGAGAAAACTACATGGTGTCAGGACTTGGCATCTATTGTAAAGAGCATACCTGCTCAGTGGATCACTCTCTCTGGCCTGCTTGTCAGGCCTTGAGCTAACAGAGAGGTGAGAGGCTGACCTCACACCGGGATGGCGGTAGGGTGTGAATGAGGCCTTTCTCAGAGGCACAAGTGCCAGTGTACTCTCAGGAAGAGCAGGACTTCTGTTTGTGGAAACGTTTGGGGTCAAGTCTATAATATAGCACTGTTCATGATGCCAGTAGCAAGGCTCATTCTGCATGTGGGCTCAGTAATCTGTCTCTGCTCTTCCTTTTAGAGACCTCCTTTGGAGGATGATGTTTCAGGCACCAGCTGTTGTGGCTATTGGCAACAGGATCCCATTCAGAGTCAACATTGTTTCAGAAGAAAGAAAAAAAAAGAGAGAGAACCAAGCAGCAGTGATGTGTCTGCGTAGGCGGGTGCGCGCACGCGCACACACACACACACACACACACACACACACACACACACACACACAGGATTGCATCCAGTGTTTGGTGGGAGGAGGAGTTCCTTGGCTTTTGTAGCTGTTGCTTTGCTTTCACATTTTAGAACTTGTCTTCCTGGTGTCTTTCCAGCAAGCCTGGCTACATTGTGTTCTTCTGGAAAATGCGTTTGTCCTTACCAGAAACCCTCAGCAGCGTTCTCAGTGGGTCCCAGTGGATGCTGTCATGTGTGCAGCTAACTGAAAACAGGCCTTTGCTGGAGGGACCAGGTTTGGAAACTAACTTACAGGTTGAAGGTCAGCTACCACCTGTATCCCTCCCCCACCACCTGTGTCCGCCCCGCCCCCAGTCCCAGGAGAAGAAGCACAGAAGAAACAAAGAGAAGTACTTCCACCTGGATCGAGTAATCTCAAAAACGCTGACGGGAGAAGACATCGTCATGTTAGGCTGTCCCCTGAAAGCTGGCTTAGTCCTATCCAGCTACTATTCCAAAAATAACATAGCCCAGGTAGTTTCTAAGTGACAGAAATTTGTTTCACACAATTCTAGAAGTTGGCAAGTCCAGATCAAGGTGGTAGCAGAGTCTACAACTGGTGATAGCCTGCTTCCTGGCTCCTAGAATCCTTTCTTGCTGATGATGGAGACAAGGGCCACAGGGGGTCTCCACGGTGTCTTTGTTAGGCCAGTATGCAAACACTAAGACTCTGTCCCCATGGCCTAATCAGTTCTGCACGGATGCACCTCCTAACACCTTGATAAGGACTTCCACGTACAAGGGACACCAGCAGCACCCAGCCTATGCCAGGGTTGTTACATGTGTTTAGGGACACAAAGGCAAGGTTGTTACAGTTAGGATGGGTGGCTCAGCAAAAGTAGCTGGAGGTACAAGAGTCACAGGAAGAAAGCAGCATCAGGTCAGCCAGGAGGCTCAGCAGCATGGTTGGGATGGGGCTAGGAAAGGCCAAGTTCCACCCCCAGACGGTCTCAATCTGTGGGTGCTGAACGTTCGGGACTGCTACTTAACCTCAGAATCCCATCCCATTTCTCTTATCCTATTTGCTAGAGGCCAGGCCTGTCACGGACAGAAGTGTGCGCAGGTATCAAATCAGGCAGCAGGCACCCCTGGGAGCTGTTACAGAAGCTTCCTAGCTCTGTCCTGTCAGAGTACCTTCAGCCTCAGCCGGAAAAATCCACTCTTCTGTGACATGACCTAGACTGTGCGGGCAAAGGTTTAGATCATCTACAGAAGGCGGGGTCATCAGGGTTGGCTCCTCCTCAGCTATCTGCTCCATTTAAAAGCTTAACCATCTGCCATTACCCTGTCTGCATTATCTAAATCATAATATTTTAATCATCATCTCTTCATTCATTCTCCTTCCTATTGTTCATGTCCCGTTCTCTCTGTAGCCAGTGACTAGTTCAGGACTTGAAACATAGCTGACATCCACCATCCATTTTTCACAAAACATGATGGGGTGAAGTCAGTTGAACTCCCAGTGGACTTAAGGTCCCATAGGGAGAGCACATCCTCCTGGAAATAGCTGGATAGCAATGTGCTCTATCTAGCAGGAGTAACTGGGTCCTAAGCTAGGTATCATTGGTGTCACCTTTTTCTGAGCTGGACAGAGAGAATAGGAATGAAATAAACACAGTGCCTCTCTCTGTTGTTGACTTCAGTGCTCAAATCAGCAAAGGGTGAATGTCTAAGTAGCTTAACTTTTTTTTCTCTTGACTTACTTTTCATCACTTTTCTCCTGAAAGATTTTAAGCACTACTGGAAAGGGAATTATCTTCCTCTCTGTGGCAAGTTCTCGCACTGTCCTTGTTGACCTTCAGTTCTCTTTCCTGGTAGCTGAAGGTGTTAGAGAGCCAGCGTCATGTACTCAAGTGTTGAAAGAAGGTAAGCACAGGCCATCTTGAAAATATTATTTCCCTGTAGCGGCCTGTAGGCTCTGTTCTCCAAGATGCGGAGCGTTCACCAGAGGCGGTTGTAGTAGTGTCCTCTTGATCACAATTTCTCATCGATGGATTGCTGTTGTAGGCACCCACGCCCCAGCTTCTTGTCCTACAGTTATTACTATAGCCATGGCTCCCACCCACCGAAGATCCACAGACTTCCACATCAGCCTTAGAAGTAGAAGCCGCTCAGGCAGGTCAGTCCTGGAAGGTATCCAGGAAGCTTAGCCTAGAGCTGTTTTATATACCCTTGGCCTCCATAACTGTTTTATCAACATACAAGCGTTGATGGTAAACTCCATACTGCTTAAAATATCTAGAAATATTTATTTTTCTTGCACTTAGATTGATGAGTGTACACTTTGTTATCTGATATCCATCGATTTCAAGTCTTCCCCTTCTCTGAAAACCATTAAAGGACAATGTCCCTACTAAACATGACTTGGAAGAACAGGAGGAAATAAAGAGCTTCTGGGGACAGCCCAGCACCAGAGCTGACTTACTTCCCTGGGGCTTAGCCTCCAGACTTGGGAAGCCATTCTATGTCTAACATTCTTAGACTTCTGTTATGTTTCTACGCCTTAAAGGCAGAACAAGCGTCCCCGTGATATACCTGATACCTGGGAGGCCATCTCCATCATGTACCAACAGCCAGAAACACAAACATCCTGGGGAATCTGAGCCATTCCACTTTGTTCAGGGAGAGGACTGTGGGACACTCCTTTGGAGTGTTAGGAAGAATCACTTACATCAAGAGAAAGTATCCAAGGTCAAAGAGAATGGGGCAGTTCAATCTCCATTTTTATTTTCTGAAAACTGACTCGACTCTCAAATTCCTTCGGGCACTTAGAAATCTTAAGAACGAACATGAAAAGGTGACTGCCTTTCAGGGTGGGTGGGTTGTAAAGAACTAACCAGCCACACATGAGCCCTAGGCCAGGCTCCAGCCACCACCTTAAAGAAATAGAAGCTTGACTGTGTTGGCCAACCTCTGGAGTCTGTCTCAGTCTTTATAAAACATTGCTGCCATTCTGTACAGTTAGTGCAAATACCAAATTCCTGAAGGCTGAAGCCTTTTTGTCCAAGCCATCCTTTTAAGAACACAAGTAACCAAGAACTTCTTCATCTTCCATGTAAGAGTTCAAGTGATTCCAACACACTGCCTGGCAAAGGGGAAGGAGGTAGTAACGACTTGTTTAACTAACAGAGTAATCATTAAAAAAATCCCTAACAAACAAAAAATCTAATTTAATCATTTAAAATCTTCCAAACTTCAAGGGCATCTGGCCAAAACTATAAGTATTTGGGGACAGGACCAGGGATCCTCATATAACCCACAATTCCTGGTCAGTATTTCCTGTCCCTGGACTCATACTTTATAAAGATGTATACCTTTTCCAAAATGATTTGCAGGCAAAACAGCACTGATTTATGGAAAGTAATCCATAAATTATCCTCCAATACTAATTTCTTGGCATCTGAGAGCCATTTTACATAGAGCAGGAATTCATATTTCCTATTGCAAATCACTGCAGGGACCAGGGGTTGCAGGGCCTCTTCCCCAGTGCGGATGCACCCGCCCCCGCCCCCACCCACTCCACGCCCCCACCCACCCCACCACTGGACTCTAAAGGGGAGGCTAACACCAAGGCCAGGACAGCAGTAGAGGAGACTGGGAGGGAGGGAGAGTGGAGGGCTTTTGTACACGTGCCCTAACAGGTTCTAGAAACTTTCTCCTTCCTTCGGGGAGATAAGAAGGATGAACTGAACCAAGACCTCCCAAGGACACAAACGTATTATGAGTCGGCACCTTGAACCCCGGCGATTCACAGAAAGAAGTCCCATTCGGAGTCCCTGAGCAAACACCCCAAAGACCGACTCCCCAGGTTCAGAGGGAGGGCAGCACTAGAGAAACCGGCCACTGATTTAAGTGAAAACCGTGCAGACATCGAGGCCCGTCGGGTCATCAGGCTGGTTTGGTTCTCGGGTCTGTGTCCCATGTTATCTCCTCTTCTCTCCGAGTCTCCCAAGGCAGAGTCCTCTGGTGGGTGAATTAGTCCGGGTGACGAGAACAGGATTCTTGCCCGTAATTTTTCCAGCATATCTAGTTGATTTATCTGCTGATACCGCTGTGTTATGGCAGTTAAAACACTGCAACATTAGAACAAGCTGGAACAGCCTTCGCGCATTTATAAAGCATATGAAAAGCACATGTAGGAGACTTGGGGAAACAGTCCAGATAAGAAAAACGAATGCTCACATCCACTACCCCTCGTCAGAAGCTGAAGGACATACAAGGAGGGCTTGGCTGCGGGACCGTAAACACAGATGGAATTGGAGAATCGTCAGCTTTCGAGAATCCTTGACGGGGTTCTGCATTAAGACAGGTGAATGGTTCAAGCACGGGGGATTAGACTCTCTTGGCATCCCTCCTACGGGAGGCTGTCAGTGTCCAAAGGGGATTTATAGCCCCACCCACTTTGGATCTTCGCCCCTCTGGCTCTTTTAGGGAGAAATCAGAGTCCTCCTACTCACCGGTTTTGCTTTTATTGTTGCCTGATTTCCTTTGTGAAGACCCCCACCCCACCCCACCCTGTTTTTCTTCCCTCAGGAGAGGGCTGGAGTACGTAGCTAGGGTACCACAGGACGTGGCTGGAAGCACCTAGGTGTATGAGCTGGAGGATCTATACAAACTTTCTCTTCATCTGGAAAAAAGATACTAAAGGCTCCAGTGAAAGAATGCGGATGTGTTTGCCTAACTCCACAGGGAAACTGTGAGCCACACCCACAGCTCAGAACCCTTGAAACTTGTAGAATGCGCAAACTCTTTCCTATGAAAAACAAGCCCTCAGAAAACCCCAGAAAAGTGGCCCTCGACACAGGGTACTCTCTCTACTTTGTGAGTCCACAAACCGAAGAAAGGGGGAGAAATGTACTTTATACTCAAAAACAAATATTTCCAGCTGAAGTGATCAGAGCAATTGTTAGTGTACAATAAGCAAAATGAGATCTTTTCAAAATTTGCCATTAAAACCAATGTGCAAAAAAAAAAAAATTAAGCTTATGTAACCTTTGTCCCACCGAGGATAATTCACAAATCTATCTTTGTTTGAGACACACTGGCTTTTAGGGTTTGACTTCAAATTTTATTTCAGACTCAGAAACAAAGGTTTTTAAAAGCCTGGCTTTGTCATGTACTAGTTTCGTGATCTTGGATGGGACATAATAATCCTTCTAAAGCCCCCATTTCTCATTTTAGAATGTTAGCTTTAAAGGACTGAATAAAGATGCAAAAAAGGGGAGGGGACAAACTTGGGAAGGTAAGACACTCTAGTCCTGGGGTCTTTAATAGCTTTGAGGGCAAAGGTCAAGCCTTGCTGTGTAAGCCTGAGCTGAGCCTTGGAATAAAGAGCATGCTAATCTCTGGCCAGTTTACCTACCTCCAGCAGCACTTCAAAGTGTTTGTGTGGAGATGCCCACTCTACAAACAAGTGGGCAGAACTTCCCTTCTCCTGGAAACCTAGCTCTGCCACATTGCTGGAGGCTGAAAAACCACCTCCCCTATCTCACAGATCAGAGTCACCAGGAGGGAGGCCTGAGCTCTGCTGGAAGATGTCTCCAGTTCTCTGCCAGGAGTGAGCTCAACCGAAAGTGCCATTAGCTGCCCACTCCAGGTATGATTGTTGTCACAACCCCCCCTTTTTTTTTATCAGTGAGAGGCTGTGAAAAGACAGATAGTACCTCAACACAAACATTACACAGACAGACCAGCACTTTTGCCTGTTAAGGCTCTGCCAAAGCCCACCCAACTCTGGACCAGGGCAAAAATAATAAACAAAAACAAACAAGCAAATAAATAAATATAAGCAAATGAATTCTGTCTTTGCTCTGCAAATCGAAAGCCAGACATTCCCAGGTGGTTTGCCCACTCCTCCCTTTCTCTCTTCTCTCTCTTTAATCCACCCTCCTCTGTCCCTAACGGAGGTACATATGATGTGGAATCCACAGAGAAGAGGCCCAAACACTCTTTCCAACCCCCTGGAAATGAATAGGGTACGATAGCTCAGACTGCGCTGATTAAGGTGTGTCCTGTGTCCAAGGGTGGAGTCAGGGATTTCGCTCACCTCCATTTCACTTTACAGCATCTCTGCTTCATCCTCAGGTCCGTTCACTTCATGAATTGTTCTCTGAGGAGGAGCTGAGAGTCCCCTTGTGAGCTCTTGCAGGTATCACATCTCCGAGTCTCAATCATCAGCCTTGGCCTTTATCAGAGGAAACTCCCAAGATAGTTGTGGTAGACCCAGCTGCAACCTCGAATCACGGTGTGGCCTTTGAGTTCTTGCTTTCACCTGGTCTGAGTCACAGCTTCCTCCGGATTGGCTTCTTCTGCCTGAGATGTGGTCCTGGGTTTTAACGGAGGTAGTGCCTAGGTGATCTCTGCACCTCCAGAGCGCTGAGCCCCCGGGAAGATTGCTGCAAACATCATAGCAAAACCAAGGCTCTTCACTCACTGAAGTCTGGCTTCCCCTCCTCTCTCTTCCACACATGCTCGCTTGCCCTTCTAGAATGTGACGACGGTCCACTAGGCTCACACAAACGGTGACTTAGAGTCCGCGCTTCTCTCTGGCTGGTTGTGCCTTTCTAGCCCGCGTTTAGTTGCGTTGAGTTGCGTTGAGTTGAGGTACCAGCCCTCTGAGCCTATCTCTTCTATAAATAAAGTCCGTCTCCTTCTAGAGCTTAAGGAAGAAGAATATAGGAACACAGTGGCACAGGGCTGGCGAGCTGGGGAGAGCCGTGGGTAGCTTGTTCCTTTGCAGACCAGTCTTGGCTGGGTTTTCACACATTCACCCAGCTGCCCATCACAAGGGAAGACTCCACCCAGGCGTGGAACAAGGAACGCTTTACTTCCCAATGCATGGGAGAGACCAAAAGGAACGGCAGGGCAGCTCTTAAGGAGGTAAAGAAGCCAGGCCTGATGGTGCAATTTACAACCCAAGCTTGGAAAGTTGAGGCAGGGAAATCCCAAGGCAATTCTCTCCTTCCTGAGTTCAGGTTGCAGACCTCCCTCAGCTTGGTAAGTTCAGGGCTGGGATATTGCTCAGTGATAGAGTGCTTGTCTGGCATGCAGGAAGCTGTGGTACAGTCTCTGGTACCACACTCAACACACATACAGGAAAGAAGGGAAGCACTGGGAGTAGATACTCTTTACCAACCCCCAGAACACTCTCTGCTTTGGCAAACTGCGCATGATCAATAGCTAGTTTGAAATGGTTGATGGGTTAGCCTGAGGGGCTGCTGTAACAACATCCTGTAGACTGTATGGCTTCTCATCAGGGGCAACTTTTTCCCTCACAGCTCTGGAGGCTACATCAGGATGCCAGCATAGTCAGGTTCCACTGCTGTGTCCTCGCCCTTGAGCTTCTGTTATGAGGGCTCTACTCCCATCTAGGACACAACCGTCCTCATGAACTAGGCCCTACCTCCTGCTGTCTGCTATCGGGGTTAGAACTTCGCCACATGAAGATGGGAACCTAGCAGATGTATTGGCTAGATTTATGTCAACTTGACACAAGCTAATGCCGCTTAGAAGAGGGAGCCTCAACTGAGGAAAAGCCTCCGTAAGATTGGGGTTGTGGCATGGGAAGGGACTGGTCCTGCAGACCCAAAGCTGCAGGATCTCCACAACACAGGACAGCAGCTGGATCACCAACAGGAGCTGTCGTGGGGGGCCCAGCATCTACAGTGTAGCAGAAACCAGAGGCCCCGAACCAGACCAATGACTCTTTGCAATGAACACTTACAAGTAAAGATGTATGGACAAAAGAGTATACTGTGTGACTCACTGTGTCACACGACAGCTTTTTTCGTCTCCTAAATTTTATTTTATTTGGGGGAGGGGAGTGGCAAGGGAAGGGATGAGGGGAGATGTAAGATATGAAAGACAAAGAATAAATACAGAGACAAGTTTTTTCTTGTTTTTTGATACTTATTTATTATGTATTTAAATTAGAAACAAGCTTGCTTCCCATGCCAGTCCCAGTTCCCTCTCCCTCCCCTTCACGCCCACTCCCCCCACCAGCCCTCCCAACCCCCGACCCAATCCCCACTCCTTTCCCCAGGGAGGGTGAGGCCCTCCATGGGGGATCTCCAGAGTCTGTCATTTTGTTCAGGGCAGGGCCTAGGCCCTCCCCCAAGTGTCCAGGCTAAGAGAGCATCCCTCATTGTGGGATGGGCACCCAAAGTCCATTTGTATGCCAGGGATAAATACTGATCTAATGCCCAGGACTCCATAAGAAGCCTCCTCACTGACACCCACATTCAGGGGGATCTGGATCAGTCCCATGCTGGCCTCTCAGCCATCAGTCTGGGGTCCAAGAGCTCCCCCCTTGTTCAGGTCAGCTGTTTCTCTGGGTTTCATCAGCCCAGTCTTGACCCCATTGCTCATCACTCCTCCCTCTCTGTCACTGGGTTCCAGGAGTTCAGTTCAGTGTTTAGCTGTGGTGTGTCTGCCTCTGCTTCCTTCTGTCACTGGATGGAGGTTCTAGGATGGCATGTAAGATAGTCGTCAAAGTCATTATCAGGGAGGGGCATTTAAAGTAGTCTCTCCACTACCAGGGCTGTAGGCCAACCTGTCAGACATTTTATTAATCAATGATCGATGTTGTGGGTGGTGCCATCCCTGGCTGGGCTGGAGGATCTGGGTTCTAAAGAAGGCGGGTTGAGCAAGCCAGCAAGCAGCATCCCTCCACGGCAGCTGCATCAGCTCCTGCCTCCAGGTTCCTGTTTGAGTTCCTGCCCTGACTTCCTTCCATAAGGACCTGTGAAGTGATACAGAGGTGTAAGCCAAATTAACCCCTCCCCCCCAGCTTGCGTTTGGGTCACACATTTCACCATTGCGACAGCAACCTCAACTAAGATGATGGTGGTACTTTCTAAAGGCAGTTCCAGGATGGCTGAGTGTTGTTATGCTATGCAGAACTGGTCATGCTGTTTGACCCCTTACTCAGACAAAGGTTTGCCTGAGATCCCAGTTTCCATGTGTTCCCATGTGTTCTCTGCTCATTGACTCATTTGTGTATTTGAGTGAAGCATTAAAGGATGACATTAAGAGTGTCAGAAAATCCTAAGGGAACTATAACGATATTCGTAATTACTTAAGTCAGAGCTAGCCAGTAAGAAGCAAGCAAGGCCAACAGCTTCATAATTAATATAGCCTCCTGTGTGTTTATTTGGGACTCATGCGGCTCTGGAACCAGGCTGTCAGGAAGGCTTCCCTTTACAGGGAACTTTTTACTGTAGGTGGGAAAAAATGGGGAAGGGGAGGGGGAGTGAGGAAAGATCAAACGACATTGGTTGTGAAACCAACTGTGGGTGAAATTTGGAAGTGTGAAATGATGGAGTCCTGTAGCGTTGAGTCCCAAATAGTCACAGAGGCTTATATTAATTATAAACTCTTTGGCCAATAGCTCAGGCTCCTTACTGGCTAGCTCTCTCTCAATTATTAAACCATTTCTATTAATCTGTGTATCTC